GATGTAAGCAAAGCCAGCCATTTGTTTGTATTTGTACCCAAATCAGACCAAACCCATTGCCTTCAATTTGATTTCAACTTTAGCGAACCCGCGTAGGGTCTCCAAGACCATGAATCTTTAAAGGTGCAGACAGGGTCATCTTACTCTTCACAGTTGGCTGGCGGGTTTGAGCCATCAAGCATGTGGTCGGCAGCCCAAGGCTTTCCACACAATACCACCAGGGCTCCTGACTGTCAGACATCATTATAAATGCATAGAAAATGGGGGAAATGGAACCTACACAATGGGAAGGGGAAGATGGGAAAGTCGGGCTGACAGTAGAGGGCCCATTCATTCTGTGTGTAGTCCACATGACCAGAAGAATAGATCTACATATAAGAAAATATGGCACAGAGGGATATGTGCTGAGTTGCTAACAGAAAGGTCAGCAGTTCAAACCCACCAGTTGCTCTGCAGGAGAAAGATGAGGTTTTCTACTCCTGTAAAGATGGACACTCTCAGAAACCCATAGGGGAAGTTCTACTTTGTACTATTGGGTCGCTATGAGCCAGAATTGACTCAACGGCAGTGAGTCTGGGTTTGGGCTTATAAGAAATGTATCCATGTATAAGGAACTATATCCCTGGATGAGAAAATCCGGTTTTAAAGACTAGTATGTCCGGTGAGTACATGAAATCACAAGTCTATAGCTCTTGCATACATTTGTTATGGACAATTCAAAGCACTTCATGAGCCTCATAATAATGGCTTAGACCACGAGGCCTGTTTGCATGCCTGAGGGTGTGTAATTTTTCTCATTTGCCAAATAGTTAACAGGTTGTAGGTTTTGAGTAACTAAGAATAAAAGTAATACCTGGTGGTTTACTTGCACCCAAAATAATAACATAGCAAACCCACAGCCATTGAGCTGCTTCTGACTCATATTAACCTTACTCTTACATAGGGTTTGTGAAGGTACAAATCTCCATGGTAAAAAACGGTCTCATCTTTTCCCCCATTGGGTGGTTGGTGAGTTTTCCCGTTGCTTAACCCACAGAGCCACCAGATGGCATTTAAGATGAGAATCCAGAGGGGCTTCCAAGAGTTCATGAACACGTGGGCCTAAAAGATTACAGATCCCCCCGCCCTCAGGGACCCTTTGAAGCCCTCTTCATGGATCTTCCATTGCAACACTCAAAGAAACGAAGGCATTTATTCCACTGAAGTTATTAACACAGAATCGCCGTGAGACGACATCAGCCCAATGACAATGACCAGCTTTTCGGCTTTTGAGTACTTCATGATCAGATTACTTTCAGAAAGAGCAAAAGCACAGTTTGCAGATGAGCAACGCTCACAGCTGAAAAGCTACCCAGAATAGCACACGCGCAGTCTTTGTCTGGTTTAAACGTGACATGGGAAGTGCATGTGGATGACACAGCTGCTTCCTGGCGACAGCAGACATGTCTGAGTGAGCCCCTGGACAGCCTGGCTTCAGTCAAGATACTGCGTGCTTGGTTTTCACATTAATATCTCCCGGGAGTACCACATCATGCTTGATTACGTAGAGGGTTATGGACAAAGAGGAAGACCTGCAGGAGATGGACTGACGCCACGGCTGGAAGCATGGGCTCCAGGTCTCCACAATGGTACGGAGGGTGCCGGGCGGGGTTTGCTCTGTTGTCTGGGGGGTCCTGTGGGCAGAACCGACTCTTTGGAGCGGGAGCCTCTTCGATGGGGCCGAACCGACATTCTACGTCGAGAATCGCGTACAGAGCAATGGGAATTCCCATTAAAAAAAAGAATGTTTTAAAAGGATGTTTATGGCAGACTAGTTTCACAACTATGTAGAGCTACAATTAGATTAGTTTGAGGGGCTCAAATGTCACTTTCAGGGCCTGCTTCCAAATCGTGGTCTGTCCTGATTTTTCCCTCGGACACACTAAGAGTGTCCTCTTCTCAGCCTCACCCCAGTGCAAGCGAAGAAGGAGGGAAAAGGGGGCCAGATAGTAAGTGTTAATGAGCCAAAAAGGGTCCCCAGGGAAGCTCTGGGAAGATATGGGGTTGGGAGCGTCACATGGAATGTCTTGATAAGGAGTCTAGACTATCTGTAATTTGCTGATTCTGAGGAAAACCAGATGATTAAGAGACCTTGTGAGGTCAACAGCCTTGATAGCTTCACATGCATGCCACATCTGGGGGAGATACAGAGGAATGGGGATTCCAGTGTCTCTTCATTTCAGGCCAGCACACTAGCTGCCTATGACCCTAAGTGACCTTGAGGAGTTCCTCCTATCATGGACACAAACCACAAGAGAGGGGAGGGGACATAGTTCTTCAAGTGCCTCATGGGAACATAGCAATGAGGGGGACGAACAACAGAAACATGGGGGAAGGGAGATGGCGGATGGTAGAAGATATGAAAATAACAATAATTTATAAATTATCAAGGGTTCACGAGGATGGGAGAGTGGAGGAGGGGGGATAAAAGAGGAGCTGATACCAAGGGCTCAAGTAGAAAGAAAATTCTCTTCAAATGATGATGGCAACATATGCACAAATGTGATTGATACCATTGATGGATGGGTTGTTATCCGAGCTGTAAGAGCCTCCAATAAAATGACTTTTAAAAGGAAGGCAGAAAAACAAACAAACTCCACAACAAGTGATCTGTTAACGTTCGTATCTGAAGCACATTTGAATACGTGATCTGTGGACACAAGTTATCTAAGCTATCCCACTTTCTTTGTGTAATGTAAGCTGGCAGGACACTTCACACACGAAGGCTTTCTTTCAAATTAGGAAGAACAGATTCAAGTTCAGGATGTTAACCAGATCTTTATTAATGGCTTGTCAAATTCTTCAAGCGTAACAACCTGTGTGGTAATCAGGGCTGCGGTGCCCCACCATGCCCATGTGTAAGAACCAGGGAGGGCAGCCTCTGTGCAGGGCATCCAGCCCAGCAGGTGTGTGGGTTTTGCATACATCCCCGGGCTTCCTGTCACGGGAGGGTTTGGGAAACAAAGGCTACATTTCAGCCCCTGTTTGCCTCTTTGGCTGGGTAGGCTGTGCAGCGAATAAACTGGCCATGGAGGAAAACCAGCCTAAAGTCATCCAGATATGGGAGGAATAAAATAACCCGGCATGCTCAACTTGAGTAATTCCACAAGGAAGAGGGGTCAGTGTGGTAAAGACAATGACTCATCACCACTACATTAGCAGTCCACCTGTTCAATGATCTGAACTGTGCGTCTTAGGCGACCCCGTCAAATCTAAGCCAGGGTTATTATTTTGGCCACGATTTGAAAAATAAGACAGAAAACAACTCCTCAGACAATGAGACTTTAAGCAGAATCAAAAGGTAGCTTTGTTTCCAGAGCCCACCAGGAAGGGACCACTTACTTCCTACTCTTCCTAGATAAAAGCTGTCCTGGACTCCGTTCATCAGTTACGCTGCTTCAAGAACCACAACGTCACAGAAAACATGCCCTTCACTAAGAAAAGAGCAGCAAGAGACTGGAAGGAGCTGCAATGCCCAGCGGTAGAAGACTGGATAACGGGTACAGACACGTGGTGGAGTAGTCGGCATCGTCAAAAAGCAACGATGAAACACAAAGCACCTCATGATAGGGACGGGCCTGAAGAACATTGTGCTGAGAGAAGCCAGTCGATCACAGAAGGACAAATACTGTGTGAGACCAGTACTTTAGGGATGAAATCCAAGACAAAGGCTTGCAGACTGAAGGAAATAGATTGTGAAAGAGCCCTGGTGGCGTAGTGGTTACGCGTTGGGCTGCTAAGTGCAAGGCCAACAGTTCAAAACTACCGTGCGTTGTGTCCCTATCAGGAGTTACACACTTGGAAACCCACAGGGGCAGTTCTGCCCTGTCCTATTGGGTCGCTATGTCAGAACCCACTCGAGGGCAGTGAGTTTGGTTTCTGTTTTGAGAGGGGAGGAAAGGCAAGTTTAGGAAACTGAAGTGAGGGATGAGAAGGCTGTGGGGCACGGACTTGGGTGAAAAGCAGGACACAGAATCCTCAGGGGGAAAAGGGAAATCGGGGAAGGGGAGGGGGACAGAATACAGGGTGGGGGGTCTGACGAGTGGTTTGAACTGCTGAAAGGAGAGGTGGTGGTCCGAAATGTCAACCGGTCACCTAATTCACAATCAAAAGTTCATGTGAATAAAGATAACAAGATAGTTGGGGAGGATGACTCCTCCTACTCTAGACCCAGTAAGGCCCTTTCCATTCTGTGTCCACGCCTTCTCTTCCCCTCCCTTGGACTGAATCAGCTCCTTCAAAGACAGGTTGACTGCAGAGCTCACTCTAATAGGGAAGCTTTCAGAGTCCGTGAGGAATGCAACACAAACTAGGGTCTGTTCACTGTGTGGGCGCTGTTGGGTTGATTGTAACTCATAATAACCCCACAGGACAGAGCAGCACTGTCCCTCCCACAGTGTTTCCAAGGCTAGAGTCTTTACAGGAAGAGATTGCCACGTGGTTTCTCCCATGTAGTGGCTGGTGGTTTTGAACTGCCAATGTTGGTCTTGGCTATTGTGGTGTTTTGATAGCCAGGATCATTGAGGCAGTTGGACTCAGAGCCACGTGTGTTCATTCTAGAAAAGTCAAAACAATCGGGTTGACAAGAGTCCCCTCAGTGCCCACAGGAGGGCATGAACATCTTCCGTGTAGATTCTTTGAGGAGGACGATGTCAGAGAAGGGTACAGCCAAGAGGGCTACCACGGAGGAGCCCTGCTATCGAGGGAGTCTTTATCCACCTACCAGGAGGCTGCAGACTTCTGGCGCTGGTGCTTCAGGATGGAGACCTGGATTGGGAAGCACACCGAGCTACAAAGGAGACTATTTTCATTCCAGGTTCAATAAAGTCACAATAGCATCCTTGAAAACAAAAACTCTACTCAACAAACTCCTTACTTGAAATTTCCTGAAATAAGTCCTTGGAAAGAGCCTATTTCGTCCAGTTGAAAACAAACAGGCAAGCAAACGAAGCTGCTCTTACCTCGATAATGTACAACACCACATTCTTGTAGAAGCAGTACAATATGCACTTGGTGACTCGGTTGTAGCTCCAGGCGCCATGGACCAGTAGAAGCTTCTCCAGGTAGGAAAACTGTGGGAAAAACAACAGCCAAAGTTTAGAAGAGTCTGACGGAGACAGTGCAAATCTGAGACCATCCTCTTCCCAGTACCGTAAACTTCAGGGACCCCATGTGAGTTGAAGATGACCGAGAAGGTAGGTGGACAAAACTAGAGTCTATAGGCAACCAAGAAAAGCAAGCAGTTTTCAGGACTGTTAAGAACAACTAGCCAAAGAGAAGACTGACAATGTAACTATTTACGGGAGTAGAAAGTCCAGTCTTTGTCCCTTGGTGCTTACTGGTGTTTTTGAACTGCCAACCATGTAGACCACAGCCCAAAGTGGAGCCACTACACCACCAGGGCTTCTATTATGAGGCTAGGGTTAAAATGGTTCTCTCCAGCAGAGAGCAGAAAGCAGAGGGCGCCTGTACCAGCAAGGCCTCTACATGGACAAGGCAGGAAGCACCGGGAGCTGTCAGCCCAGCGGTGGATCCGCTCACAAGACAGCCAGGACAGAAATGCAGAGAGAACGCTGCCTACCGCCGACTTTTCCCCAGGATGAGTCAATGTATTTCACCTCTTTTCTCCCCAGTCTATAACTCCATAGGGTACGTTCTCTAAACCTCAACTACAAACTTATTGAAATGCCAACAACAGATTTGGGGGTTAAGATCATAGCTATCAGGAGCACTAAGCATCTCCACTGGGCAAAAGAATTCTTCCAAGTGCTTCGCTTCCACTGTTAGCGGAATTATGGATGTTGCTGCTGATGTTCCCCACCATCAGCAGCCGGTGCCTGGGGGTCCTGTGCAAAATGGAGGGACATGCTGCCCCCGCCCTGCACCACCCCACTTTTGGTGGGGGATCAGCTCCATAAAGGTTTCCCTGGCTGATTTTGAGAAGCAAGCACCAGCCAATTCTTCCTAGTTGGTCTTAGTCTGGAAGCTTCTCTGAACTTGGTTCAGCATCACAGCAACACATACGCCTCCACTGACAGACAGGTGATAGTCATGCGTGCGGTGGATTGGCCTGGACTTGAACCAGGGTCTCCTGCACGGGAGGTGAGAAAGCTAGTACTGAACCACTGCGCCACTGCTCTATTAGCCACTGTCACTGAGTCCACTCTGACTCCATAGGACAATGCTGAACTGCTCTGTAGGGTTCCTAAGGCTGTAAATCTTTACAGAAACAGACAGTAGCATCTTTCTCCCACGCAGTAGCCAATGGGCTCCAACCAACAGACTTGAAGCTCGCAGCCCACGGTTTAGACCACCATGCCACCAGGGCTCCTAGTAGTTACAGGGCTGCTGCTATTGTTAGGTGCCACCGAGTGGATTCTGACTCATGGAGACATGTCAACAGAACCACACACTGCCCATTCCTATGCCATCCTCACAATTGTTCCTGTGTTTGCACCCAGCTGTGGCCACCACTGCATCCATGCGTCTTGTTGAGTCGTCCTCAGTTCGTCTGTCTCCTGACAACATGTCCAAAGGATGTGAGATGAAGAGTCACCACCCGTGCCTCTAAGGAGTGCTCTGGTTGGACTTCCTGCAAGGCAGAACTGTCCCTTCTTCTGGAAGTCCATGGTACCTTCAAGATTCTTCGCCAGCACCATCAATCAAATGCCGGGATCCTTCTCTGGTCTTCCTTATTCAGTGCCCAGCACGGTGTGGAATTGCTTGACGGCTGCTTTGGTGGTGAGCAGAGATGGTGAACCCAAACAAAAGGAAATCCTTGACAACGTCGATCCTCTCTCCCTTTATCATGATGGGCCCTATTGGTCCAGGTATGAGGATTGGGGTCTTCTTTACACTGTAATCCACACCGAAGGCTGCAGTCCTGGATCTTCATCCGCAAGTGCTTCACATCTTCAGTGCTTTCAGCAAGCAAGGCTGTGTCACCTGCATGTTGCAGGTTGCTAATCCTCCCATGCCGATGCCGTGTTCTTCTTCATAGGGCCCAGTTTCTGCTCCATCCGGTCCAGCTTAGTTAATGCAGAGGACGTGCATGACGGGGTGTGGTCGTTACATCATCTGGGGTCAAGAAGACGATTAAGAGTGAGGGGTGGCGTGTAGCCTGTCAATCAGGTCACAGGTTGAGGACTTTATTTGGAGGCTATACAAAGATAAATAGCTCACTGGAGGCCAGACCCACACTCTCTGCTTCGTCTTCCTGCACACAAGACACATGGAGCTATGCTGATGGAGCCAGAGCCCTGGAGCTGGAGGAGCCATGTGGAGACCGCTTGCCAGCACTGAGATGCTTCCATCTCCACTGGATTCACTAGACCAGTAGTTCTCAACCTTCCTAATGCCGCGACCCTTGAATCCAGTTCCTCATGTGATGTTGTGGCGACCCAACCATAAAATTATTTTCGTTGCTACTTCATAACTGTAATTTTGCTACTGTTATGAATTGGGCGACCCCTGTGAAAGAGTCATTCGACCCCCAAAGGGGTGGCCACCCACAGGTTGAGAACCATTGCACTAGACTGTCCATCCACTGGCCTGTTGATCGTCCTGCATTCAGCGTCACTGCATGTGCTGCATGAGTCTGAAGAGGAATTTATAGACTGGTTTCAGACATATGGGCTAATATCAGACTTATGGACTTGATCTGGACTTGGCCGGGATGTTTTCTTAATATATAATAACGCTTTGATATAAAGTTCTCATTACACACATATGCGTGTCTCTGGATTTGTTTCTCTAGCCAACCTGTACTAACACATGGGGTAAAGGGTGTGAAAGCCAGGGAAGACCACCGCCCTGGAATCATGTGGTGCGGCCTACTCATAAAAAGCCACAACCAGGAGACGACAAAGACCAGTCACTAGTTCCTTGGGCCAAGGCAATGATAATACTGGAGGGGTGAACAACACAGAGCAAGCACCCCCAGAAACCAACTAGAACTACCCAACCCTGCTCCCTCCGTGCTCCACCCTTCTGGGAGCCTTTCCATTGACAGAGCTTGATGGGACAGGATTCCACATCCCTTTAGCACTCAGTTCCAATAAGGAATTGCATGGAAACTCCCTTCCCTGGACATTTGCGAGGAAAAGACAGGCAAATATTTGCCTGGAACTCCTAGGAAACCTCCCCAGACCCCATGCAGCCGCACGATGCTATAACTCAAGTATTTAATAATGCTGGGCGGACAGCACAGGGGGCTTCTGACTCACCGCAGGAAGCACGGGTCCCAGGGGCGGAGGAGCAGTTGCATGGGGAAAGGAAGCAGGCAGGTGTGCTGGGCTACACGTGCTCATGGCCTCTCTCTGACACACCCACACAGTGTGCCCAGCCCCCAGCCCCCACCTTCTCTGGTCCCCACCTTCTGATGCCTGCAGCAGGTCACCTGATTGGGGGTTGTGAGGGAGAGAGGCCCAGTTTTCCCACCTGTATCAACTGAACTCCTTCTCCTCCTTCCTTCAGGACCGACCTTGAGAATGAATGGGAATGCAACAAGGGGAGACGCCGGATTCTCCGTCAGTCAGTAGGAGTTTGGAGTACCTCGGCAGGTGCATTCACAGTGCTGGGGTGGGTGGGAGGAAGTGGAGGGGATGCTGTGAGGTGCGTCCATGCAGGACTCTCCCTGCTGGAACCTGGAGGTGGTGGATGGAGGCAGAAGCGATGGAGGACCAGCCTAGAGATTGGGCATGTGGCTCTTGAACTTGATTTTAACTTGAAAGTTTTATATTCATGCGATTAAGGCAATGGGTTCTTGGAAAGCCTGGGCGCCACTGGAGGGGCACGAGGCAGCACTGGCTGAGCAGTCAAAGGCCTGGCACAGGGTAACTACACCTTGTCGTGTAGGAGTCTGGCCATGGTGGTCGTGTGGTTAAGTGAATGGCTGCTAGCTGAGAAGTCGGCAGTCTGCAGCCACCAGCCTCCCCGGCAGGATAAAGATTTGGTGTTCCGATGTTATCAAGATGATCAAACCAAACATCAAACTCACTGTCACGGAGTCGATTCTGAATATGCCTCTACTGTACTGTGTGTGTGTGTGTGTGTGTGTGTGTGTGTGTGTGTCTGGTGTGTTAGGACATCATTGTCTCCGTCTACAAATCCTTGTTATATTCTTGATATTGCTGTTAGTGGCTTTTAAGTCAGTTCTGCTGATAATGATCCTGTGTACCAAACCAAACCAAACTCCCTGCCAGTGAGCCAATTCCATCTCATAGTGACGCTATAGCATAGGATAGACCTGCCTCTGGTTTTCTGGGCTGTAACTCTTTCTGAGAGCAGAAAGCCTCATCTTTCTCTCTTGTAGCAGCTGGTGGTTTTGACCTCCTGGCCTCCAGTTTGGCAGCCGAAAGCATAACCACTATGCCACCAGGGCTCCTGCAGGACCCCTAAAATGCACTAGATCTGAAAAAACAGAGAAACCCACACTTGCAGTTGGCCCCAGCTAGACGTCTCCAGAAAGAGATGGTAGTCCCTTGCGATGGGGCAGAGAGTTCACCCCAGGCCTCCGGCCCCAGTTCAGTTCTTCTAGCAGGATGAGCCTTACCTGCGCGATGGCATAGTCGGAGTTGTTGGTGGCCTGCATGCCCTCGTTCCCGCTGATGCCCACGCCCACGTGGGCAGTCTGGATCATGCCCACGTCGTTGGCCCCATCCCCGATGGCGAGTGTGATGGCCTTCACCCTCTTCTTCACCACATCGACTATCTCAGACTTCTGCAGGGGAGACACTCTGAAAGAGAAGAACGGGGACACCGCTGTCATCTTCATGGAGCTGCATTCCAAGGGGCAGCAGGCTGGACCGTCTCCAGACTCCCTAACTGCGTGTGAGGCTCTCGTGTGCCAAGGAAGTGCTCAGAACGCAGGAGTGGGTGGCTTTCAAGCAAGCACCAGCGCCGCCGATGAGACGCACAACTGGAAGCCGAGCTGAAACCCAGGCCGTCTGTCGGCAGCTTCCTGGGTGGAAAGCCTGAAAGGAGAGTGCTCAAGGAGGCCCGTTTGGGGTTGGCTGATCAACCTAGGCACTCCAGGGACTTGCCTGGGAAGTCGACTGTTGTGGTGGGAAACGGAACTTGGCAGGACTCGGGAAGGGCTGGAGTTCGAGCAAAGGAAGGCGCTCTACCAAGAGGCAGAAGGCTCCAAGGAGGAGCATCGCAGGCTTAGCTGGGCGACTACGATGGGCCTGACAGAGCAGCACAGCTCCAACTGGGCGATCGGAGCTGCCTTTGCACACAGTGAGGAGCCCTTTGGGTTTCCACCCCAGATCAGAGATGGCCGACGGCTTTTCACCAACCCTCAAGTCCCGATGGGGGAGCCCAGACACCAAAGCACAGCACGTGGGTCCTAAGCAAGCATCTGTTCCGAATTAAAGACCCAGCAAAGAAACAGCAGGACCAATCTTCTAGAGCTCAAGGACTGATGGCTTCTAAGTTCTACCCGAGTTTGCAGACATTTACAGAGTCCTGGTAACGTAGTGGGTTAGGGTCAGGGCTGCTAATGGCAAGGTCAGCAGTTTGAAACCACCAGCCTCTCTGTGGGAGAAAGAGGAGGCTTTCTGCTCCCATAAAGAGTTACTGTCTCAGAAACCCATGGGGGCAGTTCTACTCTGTCCCATGTGTCGCAATGAGTTAGAATTGACTCGATGGCAGTGATTTGCATTAACGCTGATATGTAAATCTGGAACGTTACTGGGCAGCTCCTGGCTCCCTGAAGTGCACACACAAAGGAAAAGAAAGGCTTTGCTGGGGCGCTCATCGGTGTGCTGGCAGTGCCTGAAAGAAACCCCTCAAAACAAGAAAAGAAACCACCCTCCTGGGACTCTGTTCCCCAGAGAACTCTAAAGGCAGGTCTGTTATTCTGTAACAAGTTCAGGCAAACAGACTCCATTTTCCACTGAAACCTTAAAAACAGTCTATGAGGGACCAAGTGCTTACTTTTCTGAGCCATCAGGGACTCCTTTTAGAAAGGGAAACACACATAATTCTTCTTAGTCATTAACCAAGTATTTATTACATGTTTTCCTTGCCAGTCACTTTCTACTCCTGTAAAGCAGTCTCAGAAAACCACAGGGGAAGTTCTGCTCTCCTGTCCTATAAGGTCTCTATGAGTTGGCATCCACTCAATGGCAGTGAGTGTCTGTCTATGAATACTGGACTTACGAAGCAGAATGGGCACAAAAGCCCCCCTTCCCCAGGAAGGACCTCTCCTATGGCCTTCATCCCATAAAATACCTATTCCAAACCCCCAAAGCCCAACCTGACGCCCTGGAGTGGACTCCAGTTCATAGGGACCCTACAGGATAGGGTAGAGCTCTATCCTAAAACCATAGGAAAACTGGCCAATGGATGGGAACGCTGCATGGAGAAACGGGTCGATGAATAAGGGAAACTTGATAAGGACTGATGTCTCTGAATCTCGTGCTGGTGGAGACTGCTGAAACACCCCAGACCCCCAGAAAATCCTTCAATCCTGCCTGGGGGGAAGGACAGCCAGAATGCTGCCTAGACAAACTCTCACATCCTCTGGACATGCTGTCAGAAGGGACCACATGGCCCCAGAGACAGGCATCAAGTGTGATAAAGTAGAGGGTCAAAGAAAACTAGGAAGACCCTCACGGGGATGGATTGACCCAGTAACTGCAACCATGGGGTCAAACCGAACAGTTGTGAGGACGGAGCCGCCCTGGACACGGATTCCTCCTGTTGTGCACAGCCTTGTTATGAGTTGGAGTCAACTTGAAGGCACCTAACAACCAATCAATCAATCAATCAATCTTGCCCACAGACTGCCTGGTGGGTTGGAACCTCCAACCCTTTGGTTAGCAGCCTACCACTTAACCACTGCACCCCCACGGCCCCCACAGACTAACCTGAAGGGTACCTTGCATTTAAACTCAGGAAAGGAAGCAGGCTGAATTCAAAGTATGGGTACTCAAGAAAACCTTTGTTCTGTTTCAAAGGAAAATCAATTAGGAAGTTAGCAAAAGAGACTCGTGGGGCTGAGAAGGCCTTTGGAGCGAGCCACGTGCGATCCAACACCCCTTTCATCAGGCTGCGTGTGGATTCACCAGGACGGGACTCCACTGTCTCCTGGGAAAGCTTCAATCGCTAGAAATTATGATTACGGCTCTTCCTTTCTTGTTAAGCATCCTTCAAAGCACTCCTTGGGCCCTCCGAGCTGGGCCAGAAGGAGCGCGCTTCCTCTTTCAGATATTGGGGATGCTCCAACACTAAGTCTGCAATCAGACCAGGGCTCAGAAAGCCCCGGGTCCGGTGGCTAGCTATCCCAGATCTCTCCAGCACTCTTTCATTGGCGTGTGTCCAGGTTCAGCCTCCCAGTCTGATCTTTTGGACAGCTGAGAGCAGCATGTGGCACATGCTTCCCATCCAAGGTATCAAACACTATGCTGACCTTCCGGGCGCCTGACCTCACCTCCCTGAGAGCTTGGCTTGCGGTTATTCACCTGATGGATCGTAAGCAGATTCTAACACACAAGGGCATGTTCCCTCCAAGATCCTACAAGTGCGGCTTTCTTTTTTATTAAAACAAACGTTTTATTGGCACATAATTTACAAATCACATAATTTAATAGTTCCATCATATTAAGAAGAGTTGTACAGTCATCATCACAATCAATTGTAGAACATTTTCTTCATTCTTCGATTCAATGTTATTAGCTCCCCATTTCCCCGCAACCTCACCTGCCATGCCCCACATCCCCCCAAGAAACCATTAATCCAGTGACTGGCTCTATAGATTTACCTATCCTGGTAAATCTGCTTCCATAAAGATTTACAGTCTTGGAAACCCACAGGGAGCAGTTAGGCTTTGTCCTATAGCATCAGTACGGGTCGGAATTGACTTGAGGGCAGTGATTGAGTGAGGTTCCAACTCACAGGAAAACTACAGGACAAAGCAGAACTGCCCCCAGAGGGTTTCCAAGGCTGTGTGGGTTAGGTGTTGGGATGCTAACCACAAGGTTAGCAGATCAGACCCACAAGAGGCTCCGTGGAAGAAAGATGAAGTGGTGCACTCCTGTAAATATCTGTAGTCTTGGAAACCCTATATAGGTGACTCGATGGCAATGGGTGAGAATCTTTAGGGAAACAGACGGTCACAGCTTTCTCCCGCAGTGCTGGTCGTGGGCTCAAATCACCGTAAGGGTTAGCTCCTGATTGGTGAAACACGGCACCACCAAGACCCTGTGAATCCAGGAGTTCCCCAAAGCCTGGACACCTCCACAAAAATGCCGAGTCTCTCTGATTCCACAATACTACATGTTGCATGCAACTGTTTATCCATGAAGGTCTACTACATCACTAGGATTCCATTTGCTTGGAACAAGTCAATGGTCATGGAAGCAGCAGTTCAAGAGATCAAACTACATACTGCCTTGGGGCCAACCAACCGCCCAAGACCTCTTTAGAATATTGAAGAGCAAGGATGTTACTTTGAAGACTAAGGTGAGTCTGAACCCAAGCCATGGTATTTTCAATCACCTCATATGCGTGTGAAAGGTGGACAATGAATGAGGAAGACCAGAGACGAATGAATGGTTTGAATTATGGTGTTGGTGAAGAATACTACGGAGAACTAGTAGAAGGAACCAATCGGTCTTGGAAGCAGTAAAGCCAGAATGCTCCCTGGAAGCAAGGATGGCGAGATTTATCCGACTTACTTTGGACCGATTCTCAGGAGACAGCAGTCCCTGGAAAAGGACCCCATGTTTGGAAAAGAAGAACGTCTGTGAAAAAGAGGCCTTCAAAGAGACGGAGGAACAGTGCGGCTGCACAGTGAGCTCAAACAGAACGAACAGTGAGCATGGTGCAGGAGCGAGCAGGGTTTCACTGTGCTGTCGCAAGGTCACCGTGAACTGGACCAACTAGAGGGCACCTGATAACAATCCTGGTCTCATCGTGTAATTATCCTCTTTATTTTTCATCTGCATTTGTAAAGGTATCACCAGAGAACAAGGAAGAAATAGAGACGTAACTCGGACGGAGGCAGGAGGCCACCTAAAGCGGACTGACCTGTCAGCTGTTGTGGTCTGGGGAGAGAAAGTCCCTACAAGGGAGTCAGAGGTGTCACAGGGCTTAGGAGAGCCAGAGGGGCAGACAGGCTGCCCTTGTGGCCTTGAAAGCTCAACCATAGGGTCATCTTGCGGTAGGGTTCTGGGGTGGAGGACCGACCGTGATGGTGGAAGGAAAAAGCAGCTCACAGATCGAAGGTTTCCTTTGAGGTCAACATTCTTGACCCTTCTATTTGGGGGGTTAGCTTTAAGCCAACCCAAGGGAAACAAGGAGCCCAGCAGCCAGACTCAGGACACTGGCCGCCCTGGGAGCTGTATCTTTCGGAAGTCAACAAGAGTAATGGCTCAGATGGCTGAAAGCACAGTGTAGAAATATCCACCAGCTGTCTATTCCCAAAGACCAAAACTTGAGGAGAAACCTGACAGGCGTATCTAAGCCAAGTCATAGCGCAGTGTCCTAGAAGCATGAAATTCTCATCAAGGATTTATTATCCCCTCACCAGCAATGTCCTGAGAAGACATAAGCCTAGCACACTCTAGGGGTCCGAAGCAGATGCCAAGAGCTAATTTCTACAGAACACAACGGGCACCCTGATGCCTCAGCCACGTGAAAGATTTCAGGACGGCGGTGACCACACCACCAGCCCTCGCTTGCTTAATCCTGATGAATGACTTGGAACCGTGTGCTGCATTTTATGAGTGTT